GAAAGGAGGGGAGGGAGGGAGGGTAGAAGGAAGGCAGGAAGGACATAATGATCCTGTAACTAAATGAGCTCTACCCTAGTGGACCCCAAAACACTAATATAAAAATTATCCTCTGGCAATATTTGAACCATAACATCCGATTTTTATGTTCAAGCTCTTAAAAAATCCTGTTTCCCTGGACCCCAGGTTAGTTCAGCAGAGCTTTAATAGATTTGACAGGACTGGATGTCTGCTACAGGGAATCCAGGTGGTTCCATGTCTATAAACAGGTACAAGTAAAACTAAGTGGTAACTTCCAAAACATGCAGCTCACGGCACCATTTGAGACAAGACTGGAAAGCAGTGAAAGGCCAGAATTGGTGGTGGACTACCCAGTATGTGAAAGAGACACTAGTGGTCAGCTACCTTTGGATCAAATGTTTGCTTTGACGTTAACCTCGTTTTCCTGAAATGCGGGGTTTTTTTCCGTAGGAACCAAGCTTCCCTTCTTTCGTCTTCGGTGTGTCACAATGTCCAGCTGACCCGAGTCACCCCCAAGAGCAGGACTGACTGTAAGCCCAGGAGGCTTCTTAGAGAGTGTTACCTTACGTATGATCGGAGAGTGTTTTAAGCAAGCAGGAAGATGCTGAGCTCTGAGATGTTTTTAAACTTTTCACTAAAAGAATACACCAAAATACAAAAGTAGGAAGAAAAGTACAATGCATCCAGCATGCACATGACCCAGTTGCTGAAGCCCATAGCCTCCTGCTCTGTGGGAGACCCTGTTCCTCCAGGCTGGAGAGCTCTGAGACTGACCTCAGACTCATTTCACTCATAATGGTCAGCAGGTATCTCTGAAGGATGATGACTTTTAAAAACACAACAATATTGCCATTATTGTGCCTTTAAAAATTAACAATAATTTCTTAAAACCATCAAAAAGTCAATTATCATATTTCTTCAGTTGTCTAAGTTTATTTTTCCAGGTTTTAAAAAATCGCAACTGAGACAAGCACACATATTACTATAGGTGAATGCCTTCTATCTCCTAACCTACAGCAAGATTGGCAGGGCTTTTCTGGAAAGGACCAGATCATAAGTATTTAAGTTGTGTGAACATCTCACCTTATAAAAATCACTGAAGTTCTTCTCACTAATATGAGGGAAAGCCCAAGATCTTGCTACCTGTACTTCTTAACACTGCAGTAAGTCATTATGAGCTCATGTTAGACAAAAGAAAGCAACAGGTGCGTAGGAGTCCAAAAAAGAGAAGGTAAAACTATTTCTACATCTGGGAAATCCAAAAGTAAACGACAAAAAGAAAACGTAGTAAATAGCAGGTGATAAAATTTGTGCACAAAAAGCAATAGCCTTTACATATACCAACAAAATGAGTTAGAAGTTATAATGGGAGAAAATACTCTATTTATGAGAGTAAAAAAAAGAAAAGAATACCTAGGCATAAACGTAGTAAGAAATGTCTGAATCCTTCATGAATAAAACCATAAAACACACCGAAAAGATAAATGATTAAACTCAAAAAAGAAAAAAAGAAAAGATATACCATGTTATTGGATAGAAAGACTCAATTCCATGAAGATGCCAGTTTTGTCAAAGTTAGTCAAAGACTAAGTTAGTCAGACATCGAAACACATCATGAGACTCTATTTATGACAGTTTGGTCTTGGTATGTGAACAACAGACCAAAAGAAGAGAGAGAAATACTAGACCTAGATATAACTACAAATGACAAGGAACTATATTGATGAAGGGGCATCTCAGATTAATGGGGAAGGATGTATTTTAATGAGCAGTGTTACAGTAAATAGATACATAACAAAAGATAAAATTGGATCCACTCTTTACAAAATTACATTATGATAAATTCCAAATGGACCATGCATTTAATGTTAAAAATCAAACCATGTGAGCACCAGAAGAGTCCATGAGAATATTCTTCTATAATCAGGCAGCCTTTGCAACCATGATTATGTAAAAGAAAAAAAACCTTTTGCTAGGCTAAAAGACTTCAGGAGCAAACAACAAACTGGAAAAAGTAGTTGCAACTTACACCACAAACACAAGGTTGATGTCCCTAACATACCAAGTGCTCCTGAAGAAACAACCAATAGCCACCGAAAAATAGCTAGACATGTGAAGAGGGCACAGAAAAAAAGAAACGATTCTTCACCACGTGAAACTGCACAGAGAAGTCAAGTCCCACCCACAGATGGCAGCAACCCACACGTCCGACACTGTGCCATGAGGCAATGCGGTGGCAGGTGGCCATGCCACACAGTTAACCAGGGAGAAGAGGCAGGCTCAGGTGCCAACAGGAGGCAGACCCATGGTGAAACTGGCACCCTAGCATTCTTCCTACCCCACAGTCATGCTCAGCTGCTCCAAAGGGTTCTCCACTGTTTTGACTTTTTTTTGGGGAGGTGGTGTATGCCTTTCACCATTTTGTCCTCCCCACCTGGATGGTCCTTTCCCTTTTCTCCATTTGGCTAACTCCAGGTTAACTGAGCTGTGGAGACCCAGTTTAAGGGCTCCCCCTGTCCCTCTCTGTACCTGCTATCCCTGTGTTCAGGACAGCCTCCTGAGCGCGTCCTTACACCGCAGGACTTAGTGATAGAAACGTTGTCTCATTCTTACCTAGCTCCCTCATGTCTAACAGGGTGCCTGGCATGTAATAGTTGCTCAGAAATGTTTGAACTTAACTAGACATAGAAACTGACAAGGCGTGGTGGCTCATGCCTGTAATTCCAGCACTTTGGGAGGCCAAGGTGGGAGAATTTCTTGAGCCCAGGAGTTCAAGACCAGCCTGGGTAACACAGTGAGATCTCATCTCTACAAAATATCAAAAATTTAGCCAGGCACGGTGGTACGTGTCTGTAGTCCCAGTTACTCAGTAGGCTGAGATAACGAATCACCTGAGTCCAGGAGATCGAGGCTGTGGTGAACCATGATCGTGCCACTACCCACCAGCCTGGGAAACAGAGTGAGATCCCAACCCAGAAGGAGGAGGAGGAGGAGGAGAAGAAGTAGAAATTACTATAAATCTATGCAGGTAGGAATATCACGGCATAAATACATGGTGATATTAGAACATGGTGTCAAGAGTGCTCCTGTCTCCTGATCCATGAGTTATTCATAATACAGTGAAAATCACTTACGCTTTTTCTCACTGCATTTTGGATCAAGGGTGTTCCCTTTAGTTTGTCTTTTCTTAAATAATATTTTTATTTCACTTGAGCAATAAAAACCTTTCTTTTGACCCTGAGCCCATTAATATTTTTTTCTGAATAGTAAAAGTTGCGCTTTTCCCCCTCATACAAATTTATTTTTGAAAAGTGTTAAGTGACGAAAGTTTTGGAATTTTTTTCAGAACTGAAACAAAATATGTTGACATTCATTTGTTCCATAAAAAGCTGTTATAAAATCAACAATGTTCTGATTTCGTAAGAACCATATGCCCCACTGTTTATAAAAATGAGGTGATCCTGAAAGCTAAAATGATATTAGCCCAGAATACATTCCTGTAGATATTTAAATTCAGAATTGTTCTCCTTATCTAGATATACAGCTAGTTGCACAGATCCCTCAATTTCCTTTTGGGTTCAGTTCAGACACCACAACTTAGATCTTTCCTACCTACCCAGTCATCCTCTGGGCGTTAACACTGAGGCAGCGCATTCCAAGAGAGAACACACACGTCTGAAGGATCAGTGCTGGTGCCTGCCGACAAGGCCTCACAACCACGGCTGGCTCCCACAACAGCACCCATGACAGCACCCGTGCCTGCCCTTCCAGCTGGCCCAAGAAGAGCCTGGGGTCATATACAGACTAGACCCATTCCTGAGTCCACAGTGATGCCACAGCAATCTTTTCTCTTGACTAAGCCCTGGTCTTCCCTGCAGCTCCCTCCTCTGTCCTCCCAGAAAGATCAAGGGCCAGAATCTGCTGAAAAGTGCTTGATGGTATCTGAAGTGCTGCATAAGTGGAAAGTATACTACTAAGCCAAGCGCTGATAACCAGCTTAGGATCTGATAACCAGCTTAGGTGCTGATACCCAGCTTAGGTTCTGATAACTAGTGTAGACTTTGATAACAAGCTTAGGCTCTGATAACCAGCTTAGGCGCTGATAACCAGCATAGGCTCTGATAACTAGGTTAGGCTCTGATAACCAGTTTAGGTGCTAATACTCCGCTTAGGCTCTGATACCTAGGATAGACTCTGATAACTAGCTTAGGCTCTGATAATCAGCTTAGGCTCTGATAACCAGCTTAGGTTCTGGTAACCAGCTGAAACTCTGATAACTAGCACAGGCTCTGATAACCAGTATAGGCTCTGATTACTAGTTTAGGCTCTGACAACCAGCTTAGGTGCTGATAACCAGCTTAGGTTCTGATAACTAATATAGACTCTGATAACCAGCTTAGGCTCCGATTACCAGCTTAGGCTCTGATAACCTGCTTAGGCACTGATGATCAGTTTAGGCTCTGACAACCAGCTGAGGCTCTGAAAACCAGCTAAGGTGCTGATAACACCATGGCTCTCCTGCCATGTGAACTTCTCTGAACTTCTATCACATCCTGGGTATGTCGTCACTTGGCCACTGGATATGTACTCCATGGGATTTTCTCTGCTTGAAGGTGACAACTGATGCCCACATTCTGTTCATGAGCAGTGTAAGGAAAGGGTCAGACTGTAAACTTTGTGGTTCCTAGCCCTGAACCCCCCCTTCGCTCTTTATTATTATTGCTTTCCTGTTTTTGGATGATCCCTTCCTTACCCTCTAGACCTGGAGCCAAGCCCCCTTTTTAGAGGTCCTCCCCTAATAATTCTGTCCCATTCTGACCATTCCTTTCTTCTCCATCCTTGGAAAATGATGTTGCCTGTTCTGCACCATCTCATTCTGCAAATGTTGCTATTACAATTGTAAAGCTCTCCCAAAGCCTGCTGCTCCACACCTGGTCAAAGCTATACTCACTCGACAACAGCACAGACTCCGAAGGCAGCTCACCATCCCGAGCTTCCCCTTACCTACCTCAACACCAGGTCACCATGAAGCAACATTAAAAGAGGAGGTTTTCATTTAGATTTTTCCAACATGACTGAGTTATTAAGAGAAAAGTCAAAACCCATAATGAAAGAAAGGTCAAATCACTGAAGGAATGCTAAAAAATATGTGTGCTGCAGGCTGCCAAGTTACCTGGTGTTTGCACAAACACATGCAATTGTGAGCTAGGCTACTGAGTCAGTATTCCAAAGTACTCATGGATGTTCTTATTTTCTATACTGATAAAAAGCATTAATGTTCTCTGTACTGTGTTGAACGCACAGATGTGAGAGACAGCATTTGAAGTGAAGTCAGCTTTATTGCTCTGAATCCACTGACCCACCAGGACCAGGTATGGAACACGCACAGGAACTCCCTCACCACGTGCCAAAGTTCATCAGAAGATTTTTGAGTCTACATGGTGAGATTTCAAAAAATGAGTATTCATGCTTGGGATTCCTTGTGCTTCTTGGTTCTGTGGGTTGACAGTTTTTATGAAATTTAACAAATTGTGTGGACATCATTTCTTCAAATTTTTTCCAGTCCCCTCTCCCTTGACTGTTGGGGACTTTATTACATGTGTGTTAGGTTTCTTGAAACTGCCCCATAGTCCCACCATGCTCGGCTCACTGTGTTTTTAATTGTGGTAAAATATGCACAACATAAACATTTCAGGAACATCTACTGTACCATCCGGTGGCACCATGTGCATGCACAGCACTGTGTTACTGTCACCACTATCCCCAGAACTCGCTCCATTCAGTTCTAAGTAACTGTGTTTCTCTGCGTTTCACTTCGACTCTGCTGTGAGGCCCTCACGTCACCAGTCCATTCTCCTGCATCCACTGGTTTTCGCTCCTATAGGGTGTTTTATTTCTTCTTTAGAAGCTGTCTTTGGGTCTTTTTCCTATTTCCCCATCTCTCCGCCACACATTACGTTTCCCCCTATTTCCTGAAACAAGCAGACGTCTAACGACAACTTTTTTATCCTCCTCACTGCCTCTGCCATCGCGTCCTTCTGGCTCAACTTCTGCTAATAGGATTTCTCACTATGGGTCGCATCTTCCGACTCCCCAGAGTGACATCTGGGGATTTTGCATGATGGACATGGTTGCTGACTCTCCTTGGTGAGCTATGTTCTTGTGTCCAGCCCCTATCCTGAGACTTGCCTGGATGCTGGCAGTCGCCTGGAGACAATGACCCCCCTTGAGATTTGCACAGGTTTTGCTGGATGGGGCCAGCAGCCTGATTCCGTGGCTAACATCTCACAACCAAGACCCTCTGACTATGTCCTCCCCCAGGCCTCACGATCACAAGGTGCTCCCGCCTGGCAGGAACTGCCGGCCCTGGATGCTCCCATTCCTCTCTGGTGCTTCTGTCCTTAGCCCCTTCTCCTTCTCACTCCCGCACTGGTCGGCACTTGGCTGAAGACACAAGGGGAATGTCCTGCTCATCTCCAAATGTGGCTCCTTCAAGACACCAGGGCCGCTGAAAGGGAACAGGCATGGAGGGACAGTGGGGGCAGAGCCAGTGGGCTGGCCCCAGGCAGGGAAGACAAGCAGGGCTTTCTGAACCCCATGGCCATTTCTCCATGTGCTCCCCACCCACCACTGGGAGCACGCCCCAGCAGGTGCCCAGGAAGGCCCCTGACAGGCCCGTGGCTGGTACTGTCATCATGACAAAGTCACTGCTAACAAACTGGATTATGACAATGCTGATTCATTCAAAAAGTGAGCCTATATATTACAGATGCCCCTCAACTTGCGATGGGGTTGCACCCCAAGAAACTAAGTTGAAAATACCATTAATCAAAATTGCCTTGAAGACACCTGGCCCATGGACAGGCCACCCCAGACGCGCTTGGAACTTGCACATCAGCCTGCTGGTGGGGAAGCCATCTCATACCTGTCTTATAATCAAGGGCTATGTGTCGCATGTCATCTATTGAAGACTGTACTGAAACCGAGAAACAGAATGGCTGCCTGGCTACTGGAAACATGGCTTCTAGTGAATGCATGTGGCTTTCACCCCATGGAAAGTTGGGAAACCTAAGTCAGAACTGTCCGTACTGATAACTGCAACTAGTCAAAATGACAGGACTAACTGCACACTTCAGTAGTCCAACCCTGATGCGAGATCTGTAATTTTAATGCAGAAATTTGCTTTACATGCCATCTTGAAACGCACTTACCTTTCAAAATGATATGTCTTATTGATTGGAGGGTAACTGGAATGATCACATTTCACTAGAACTGTTTCCTGATAGAAAAGAGTAAAACAAAGAGGTCAGACTTTGCCAGGGCTGTGCTAATTGAACACTGAGCAGCCTCAGCCTGGGGCCAACCCAGCACGCAACCTGCTTCTGTAAACAGTTTTGCGGGAACACAGACCTGCTCTTGGTCTACACACAGTGAGCGGCCACCTCTCATTCAAGGCAGAGCTGGGTAATCTAGAGCGTATGGCTTTCCAAGACTGTGTTCTCTATTCTCTGGCCCTTTAGAGGACATGTTGGCTGACCCCTGTTAGAGAGAAGGCAGCCAGTTTCCCTGGATAGATTCTAATTTAATTAAAATCTCCCTATGTCACTCAAGGAAGTAGGAAGATATGACCCGTTGTGAGAAATACCATCAAAGAAATTGAGCCAGAAGAACACGGACGACAGAGGCAGTGAGGACGATGAGAAGATCTGTGGACTGGGTTCCTCCTTCTGCAAGCGACTGAGGGTCTGACCCCTGAATCCCCGCCTCTAGGGCACCTGACAGACAAAGAAGGCCTGAGACGCTCATTAGCTAATCACACCTCAGACATCTTCACAAGTTAACTACAACTGGTGGCCCTGAAATGTCTGGGTTTTGGGGGGGATTTTGTTTTTTTTTTTATTATTTTTTTTTAGTTAGAGTCTCACTCTGTTGCCCAGACTAGAGTGCGGTGGTTGCTCCCGGTCACCGCAGCCTGGACCTGCTGGGCTCTGGTGATCCTTTCGCCTCAGCCTTCCAAGTAGATGGAACTGCAGGCGCGCGCTACCATGCCCGGCTAATTTTTTGGTGTATTATAGAGTTGAGGTCTCACCAAGTTGCCCAGGCGGGTCTTGAATCCGTGGGCTCAGGAAATCCACTCACCTCAGCCTCCCAAAGCACGGGATTACAGGCTAAGCCACTGAGCCTGGCTGAAATGTCTGTTTTTAAAACACATCTGAGTGGATTGCCTGAGCCCGCGGGTTCGAGACCCACCTGGGCAACTTGGCGAGACCTTATTTCCACAATAAATCAAAAATTAGCCGGGCTTGGTAGCGTGCACCTGTAGTTCCAGCTACTCGGACGGCTGAGGCGGAAGGATTGCCAGAGCCCAGCAGGTCGAGGCTGCAGTGGC